TGTTTATCTAGATCTTGTATTTGACATTGTAAATCACTGAATTGACTACCTATGGGTTGAACGGCACTCTGGACAATCAATTCTGTGTCTTTAACATATTTTGCAGAATCAGCTTCTAACAGATCTAATCTAACCTCTAGACGATGGACCTTTGAGGCTATAGCCAAACTAATAAGACTCTATTCGTCTTCATCTACCTGAGGAGGAGGTGGTGGTGGCAAAAGTTCAAATTCTCCTTCATCACAAATTTCTGTGTCATTATTGTATTCTAGATACAGACTACCCAGTGACTGAATAAGTTCTTGTAATGGCTCACGTCGAGTGACAAAGGGGCCGGCTGTAAAATCTGAATCTATGCTCGGTACGGACCCATCTTCTACTTCATCATTAAATGTGTCCATTTTATAATTTTCTTAAGAGGGAGACAACAATCGGTACTCATTAAGATTACACTTAGAAAAAAAAACATCATTCAAAAGTATCCCCATACCCCGCAAAAGTTCAAATTCTCCTTCATCACAAATTTCTGTGTCATTATTGTATTCTAGATACAGACTACCCAGTGACTGAATAAGTTCTTGTAATGGCTCACGTCGAGTGACAAAGGGGCCGGCTGTAAAATCTGAATCTATGCTCGGTACGGACCCATCTTCTACTTCATCATTAAATGTGGCCATTTTATATTTTCTGGAGAGGGGGACAACAATCTGTACTCATCAAGATTACATCTGCAAAAAAAAATTATAACACTCACAAAACATCATTCAAAAGTATCCCCATAACACATAAGTACCATGTGAATAAAGACAAGAACACTTTTTGAAAAATTACCACACACATTGTGCCAGGGTAAAAATGGATTAAGTCAAGGAGGTTCCTGTTCGGGCGCCAATTTATGTAACACCAGCTATAATAAAACAACCAGAGTCACACAAAATCTGAGGAGGATCATCCACCAACTATATTTTAAAGTTTTTTTTTCCTTTTTAACCCCAGTACAATATAAAACAAACAAAAAAAAAAACACAGAAAAATACACCATTGAACCTGATCACATACAGACATGAAACCACACAACCTTATAACACTCTTCTTAAAGGAGTAGAGAATCATAGATGAACATTTTTGTTGAAGCTCACAATGGTTAATGTCCATATTAAGCATTCATTTCCCATTCCAGTACAAGCATCAAGGTATATCCCAAGAAAAATCAGTCCAAACGAATAATCAGGACGAAATAGTCCTTACTCTTTTCAACCTCATTGTTGATGGTTGGCACTAGTGATGAGACGTTCGACACCGAGGCTTCGAAGCTTGTATCAAAAAACGAAACCTCACAGTGAAGCACTGTACCGGAGCTTAATTCGTTTTGCCAAAACCACGTGATCTGTGACCTCCCAAGCTTCATTTTGGCACACAACCACGTGTCTGCTTCTTATTCTGATTCAAATAACGCGAACCACTTGCGCAGTTTCAAGTGTCCCTTTGAAAAGAATAAATCATAATACGAATAAATATTTGCATGTGTAGTTTTCTGCATGATCATTTTGTATTAATTCCTGGTTCACAGACACTTTAACTAACCAATATTCTATGATAATCTTCCGTTATTTTGATCATACAGCCTTGTCTATTTTTTTCCACAAATTTATTCTCAGACTTATTTATTCATATTGTGTAATACAATGACTGACATGAAGACTTATTTATATAGACTTCATGTATTCTTTATACAGGTTTTCATAGCACAAACTAATTTATTATCTGAAACAGTCCAAAAATGGCTGGTTCGTCTGGGACGCAAAGGCAGCTTTTTCCACCTTTTGACCACAAGATGTCGTTAGTGTGCACCATCTTGAAAAGCTTTGAGTAATGAACCTTTTTAAGATACAGTTGAGGGGAAAGCCTCGGTGCTTCGCAAAGCTTCATTTTCCCATTACTAGTTGGCACAGCCCATACACCCACAAAAGTAAACCCTCTGTATACAAACAAAATTAAATAATCAGACCAAACATAAAACATTACATATAAATATACATATACACACTTCCTTCAACAAAAACATAATTTACATTGAGCTAAAATAACAATGATGTTCCTCAAAATAGGGCTCATACAATGGCTTGAACAAAGGTGAGCTCCTAGCCCTGCCACAGCACATGGCTACCCTCTTACTCGCTTCCTTATAAAGTGTGAACTAGAATAGTTACCTTCCCCAACTCCCCCTAGTGACAGGGAGGGGAACTACAAAAGAAACAGTGGTGACTGTTACAACATCACATAACTAAAACTACATTTATTTAAAAATCAATACTTGAACTTACATCAGCCCAGAGAGCACAGGTACGTCTGTAAGATGTCTGTTAAAGATTGCTTCATCTGGAAAGCATCTGCTGTGTACAAACACCTGATAGACATCTATAAGATGTCAGTTTTACATTTGTGACCTTGGACCACAAATCCAGTCATAAGGGACATTTTTAAAAAAAATTGAGATATATACAACATCTGAAAGTTAGGATAGGACAATATTTGGCCGAGATGCAGCTATTTGAAAATCTGGAATCTGAGGGTATCAATATACAAAATTGTAAGTAACAAAATATCTTCATGGAACATGATCTTTACTTAATATCCTAATGATTTTTGGCATAAAAGAAAAATTTACCTATACAATGTTTTTTTTTTGGCTATTGCTAAAAATATACGCAAGCAACTTAAGACTGGTTTTGTGGTCCAGGGTCACATATATTCAAAATCATAAACATCTTAAAGACATCTTCTAAACGTCTATTTGACATCTGATAGGAAACGTCCTATAGACGTATAGCAGATGAGCAAACACTATAAAAAATAAGTCTTGCAGATGTAATGCAGACGTCAAATAGAGTCTCTGTGATGTATGTGTGCTATCAAGGAGTGTGATAAAAACTACTTAAAATGACAAAAACCATCTTTGGAAAAAAGTTATTTGAAGTGTAATTTAATTATTTAGTTTGTCTCACGTCCCATTAGATTACATGGAGAGCACAGGGTTTGTGACCTAAACTGAGTCCAGCCACCTGGGGGCAATTGAAACACTTTGGCTTCACTTTTCAGGACTTGTGAGGCACACTTGGTTCAAACGGACGCGTGGTGCAATATAAGGAGAAAGGGGAGGAGTCGAAACTGCCCTTAAACCTCACTAGCCCTAGCGTATTTTGTCATCATGGAAAATTTGAATGCATAGAGTCCATAACAAAAACTTCCACCATAGAAGAGATGTATAGGGTGGGACACAGATACAGTATGGAAAATATGTTTTGGAAGATTTTTTCTAAATTCTCTAATCATCACAGAGCATTTCAGATGGCAAGAATAAAACAGTTTTGTATAAAAATTGCAATTTAAATATTTTATTTTCAATATACAACAAAACTTTATAGCACGTTTTTGCAGAGTGGAAACTTATCTGTCCATTTGTACTAAAGAAACAGTTTCCTGTTTTTATCACACCTGAATGTGGCTGAAGGGGTTCTTGGTTGTGACTCAAAGAACAGCAAAAAAACCACAAGCTGGAGAGCACGTAGGCTGATATTTAACACACGGTCACAGTATAAAACATTAACTCAGGCACAAAACTTGAGGAACTTTTCCAAGCAAATCTCTTTAACCTACTAAAAATACTAGAGATTATTTTTTTCTGAAATTATTAACACATTTGATTGAAAACATGTTAATCAAACAAACTGTCTATTATATAAAACATTTTTTTAAACATTCAAACAACTGTTTGTAAGGTGTGATGATCGTGTATTGTGACTGACAGTGAAGTAAACAGAGTAAACTTCCTTCCTACAGGAGATGACTGTATCATCTTGGATGACAGTCTTCACACTTCTGGAAAATTCATGTTTTCCGATAAGTGTAGAGATGTTTGTCAGAGGATGAAAAAAGTGGATCCGCTCCGGAATTGGAGTCAGAATGTGGAGAATTAAACATACAGATGAAACAGAAGAATTTAGCAGAAGACATGGATTCACCAGTCTCATCTGTCTGATGATGAACTCATCCCTACATTCACAACACAACTGAAACAAAACACCCCTTTGAAGACAATTTGGGTTGCCCTCATTTGGACAAAAACATGTTGTCCTTTATTCTAGGGATTGGATTAGTCAGTAGTGTTTATCATCTGCTTTATATAACACTATGATCTCATTAAGGTTTAATTTGCACATAATCAGAGAGAATCCACCAATCAGCATCACAGCTGAAGAAACACAAATCATGTTGAACAGGGTAAAATCTGAAAATAAAACACACATACAGAGTTATCCTGTAACGAGAGAGAAATAAGCATGTACAGACATAAACATACACAACATGAACATGAAAATGACGACAAAAATGACACTTATGAATGAATGTAAAGCTGCTCTGATGTTTTCAGTTGTTTTTGTAAGTCATGAACATTGTCAAAAGACACGTCTTCATTTTATCTAAAGATTTCTTACCTATTTTAACAGTGAGACTGACTTTAGTGATGAAGACAACATACTTGGCTATAGGAATTTGTGCTCTGCATTTCACCCATTCAAGTACACACACACACAACAGTGAGAAGTGAAAACACACACAAACACGCAGCCTTTGCTGTGGTGCTCAAGGCCCCTCAGTGGTGGGTAATGAGAGTGAAACAGAACACTCTTCATTCACTCCCTCCACCTACATTTCCTGCCAGCACTAAGAATCAAACCTGCGATCTTCAGGTTACAAGTCCGACTCTCTAACCATTAGGCCACAAGTGCCCCGAGAAAGAGAATTAATGAGATAATTAACCAAAAAGGTGAACAGAATCAGTAACTGAGGGGGACAAAACAAAACTCAGAACTGAAACAAAACACTAAACAAAACCATGAAGATGACAGTCAGACTCTTCACAAATATAACATCTAATCAATTCTGCCACAAAAGCAAATTTCAGAAACAAGATTTCAATGAGAGTTTGTTCTACTCACTCATAATATGTAGATGAACAGTGTTAATAATGGAGTAACTGTACGAGTCTCTGTTGATCCAAACTCCACATAAATAAACTCCTCCATCATCTGGTGTCACAGCAGTGATTCTCACACTGAAGATGTGTTTATGTTTGTCATCAGAAATACTGAATCTTTCTTTCTTCTTCCATCTGCTGTAAATCGTCTCAATGGAGTCTTTTTCTTCTTTGAATATGATCTTTACTTTATTAATATGATTCTGTGAATATTCACAGCTGAAATTGGCAGTTTCTCCAGTATTCACCATCACTCTCTTTGACACTTTACAATACAAATCTGTGATTTACATAATAAAGAAATATATTATACTTTAGTAAATGCTTTAAAATGATCAGTAGATTCAGATTAAAATGACTGACCTTCTTCCACATGTAAAGTCATATCTATACCCCACTTGTAAAGAACACCAATCCAGTATCCTCCAGCATCATGCTCCTTCAAATCTCTGATGTAGATCGTGAGGTTTCCCTCATTATTTTGAAACAATGTGAATTTTCCAACACTGATCCATTTGTCATGCTTCGTATTATTCATTATGTTTGTCCACTCGGGTAATTTATTCATGCATTTAACATTTGCACGGAACCAAAGTTTCCCAGAATCAACCAGAAGACTTGCTCCAGAATATCCCGTGACGCTAAAGCATCTCACTGCAGCTGTCAATCAGATTGATACTGTGATCAGAAAGCTGATGAACAGAAAACAGCATCATTACTGCAGTGATGAAAGAGAAAAGCTCTCACCTGAGATCAGGTAGAAAGTGAGGAAGATGAGGAGGATCTTCATTGTGAGTTGAGTTCAGTCTTCTTTATGCTGAATGATCTCTGTGTGAATCTCTCTGTCTCTACATCTGTCTGCTTTAGTTACTTCCTCTTTATTCAGCTCTTTATCAGTAATGAGCAGCTTTACTGGCTCCTCCCACCATCACCACTGACTGAACATCACATTAATCACACTGAAAGAGCGCCACCTAGTGCAGTTACACTGTCTGATACTGAGAGCTCAAACAGGTTTTATGTTCTTGATATAAGGACAAATGACCCTCAAGTGAATGGGAAAAAAATGGGATTAAGATCCGGGCAGTTGCCTGGCCATGGATCCAACATTTCAATGTAATGATCTCTGACCCACTTCATTTTCACTCTTGCCTTGTGTCATGGTGCTCCATCATGCTGGAAAGTGCACAAATCATCACCAAATTGCTCCTGGGTTGTTGGGAGAAATTGCTCTTGCAGTACGTTTTGATACCATTAATGGCAGTGATCGCGAAACACAAGTATTTATTTATTTAACTTTGCAAAACACAAAATTTGTTACTGCCAATACTTCTGGTCAAGGCTGTAAGGCGTCTAAGACCTTAGCAAACTTACAAGATATCTTGAACATTTAAAATAATTTAAAATTAAAGGTTAAAAAAAACTAAGTATAAAGATGTCACAGTTATGCTGCTGTGTAGGAACGAGGAGTGCGGAGACGATGGAGAATTTACAAGGAACAGTCTTTATTAACTCCAACAAAGACTCACAGGCAGGAACACACACGCAGCACGGGGAATTGACGTTTAACACTAGACGCAGGACAAAGGAAAACACCGGGCTTAAACACTAGGAACTAAACGAGGAAATTAACAAGAAACACCTGGAATCAATAAAAACAATTAACACAAGGGATAAAATAGGTCACAGGGAGAACATTGGGAGAAAAACACACAAAGACAATCCAGGGGCGTGACAAAAGAAAATGTGAAAAAAAGATATATAGTACAGATATACAACTGACAATATTCATACATCAGGAACACGTTGAGTTACAAAGGCTTATCTATTCTCATAAACAGAGATCATAATGAGTGTCTTCATGTATTTATTAAATAGCATCATCTTCCTGTCTCCCTGGGAAATCAAAAATGCTTTGTTTGACATCTTTATCAGCTGTAAGAAACATTAACACTTTTTGGGAGAAAACAGATATGATCCCACTTGCAGAATAAATATTTTAAAGTGAAGTGACGTGTGGCCAAGTATGGTGATCCATACTCGGAATTTGTGCTCTGCATTTAACCCGTCGAAGTGCACACACACACTGTGAACACACACCCGATACAGTGGGCAGCCATATTGCTGCGGCACCCGTGGACGGTATGTGTATAAAACAATATCATACATTTACATTGTTCCAAATACAACTGTTTGTCATATGGACAACCATAAGTTTTGTGCTATAAGGCGGCAAATGTGTTTAAATCTGAACACTTGAATTCTATCTACAGTGTTTCTGGTCAAACACACCTGATTTCACACTTCAGGGCTGCGATTCCCGATAACACTGTCTCTTAGCACGCTACGGAGACTCTAAAGGTATGCCTTAACTAAAGGTATACCATTTATAGGCGTGTTCCCCGAACTATACCTTAGGAGGTTGCTTAAGATATACCTTCTTACATTCGATGTTAGCAGGTACTGTCCATGGCAGTGGTGCTGAATTGGTTGATATCAATGGCTCGAGAATTGATTATTCATTCTATGCACAGGCTGCTTCACTGCGTATTGTGAGAAAGTGTTGATTTTAAATAAAGACACGGATCTCTTTCCTGTTAGAATGCAACGAACTTGCGTGAAACTTTTACTTTCACTTTGCAACATACATCATGTTAGGGAAGAAAACCAAAAAAGAAAAATATGAATAGTTATTCATAAAAATGAACCCAGTGGTCACCACATAAAATACAAGGATAAAGAACTACACAAGACACTGCTTAATAATTTAACAGCTTTTAACAGAACAGAGAAAAATAAAATAAAAATAACACCTTGGGCCTACACAAGTTCAACAGAAAAACATTGTGGTAAGAGTGCTTTCCAACAGGAAGCACTTCAGAAATAGATGCAATTGCATTTATCAGGACTCATAAATAATAATCCAAATTGCAAACTAAACCAACCCTGTGGATACTTATACAATTTTGAAATGAGTGCACAAACCCACAACCTCATGCCCAAACATAGCCTTTATCACTAACTGACATACCTTCACTGACCTATGAATGGGTCATTTATATTATCATAATATATATTTAATTGATTACTCACATAAAATATTTCTCTCTCTGTCCTGTCAGTTTTTGAGACACCCAGGAACTTTGTGTTCATTCAAACAGACGTGCAACGCCATATAAGGAGAAAAGGGAGGAGTCGAAACTTCATTGGCTCTCGTGCATATCGTCATCAAGCCATTTTTTTATTCAGAATCTAAATGAGACTCATTATTAATTCACACTCTGTCCTACTGAGAATGTTTGCGTCTTTTCATCACAGAATAAAGTTGAACGGCAATTTGAAACAATGTAAAATGTACCAGTGCTACAGAATGCGAAGCGGGCCTTATAGTTATATTTTTTATCATTTGAAAAGCAAAAAGATATTTTATATTGCACACTTATTTATGATTGCAGTTGGTTGGATTTATTAACAAAAACAGATTTAGTGCAATGTGCACTTAACTCTGACCTGACTAAAAATATTTTGGTCATATTATATTATATTTCATGTTGATGATCTATATCACACTTAGTGTAATAAACAACTCTGCAAACACAAAGCACTGAGACTTTTACAAGCAATTCACTTTATCCTAGTAAAGAAACTGGGTTAAAGTGTACTGACATACTAACAATACAAATGTACGACATTTAAAGAGTGATTACAGACATTCTATGTCAGTGATTTGTGAGCGCAATGTTTTGATTTTGTTTGTTCTGTTTTTGAAAGAAAATGTCAAATCACACATGGATAATTTTTTGATAAGAAAAGAACATGTTCAGTAATTGTTGAATGCAAATAACTGAATTTGTCTTTATTGTCTTCTGTTCACATTAAATGCTCATCTTCTGTCTCTCTGTGTTCATGTGTCTCGCTGTGGGTTTCCTGAATAAAGCTGTTTAACCTTCACACTCAAACCAAACTGAGACCCTGAACCTTCACCAGTTTTCGGTGGTTTTGAAATGGATGGAAAAACAGCTTGTTTATCACACAAACACAAAAAACACCTTTGAGACAGAAAACATCAAACATGTCATTTTCAAGTCTCTGAATATCACAATAACGACAAATAATAATTATTTTTTTTAAATAAATACAGTTCAGACTTTAAATGATATGATTAGTTTGTATGTGAATATGTTGATCAGGCCCGAGGGTGATACAAAATAAAATGCATACAATTATTATTCAGACTCATGTATCTCGCTGTGGGTTTCCTGAATAAAGCTGTTTAACCTTCACACTCAAACCAAACTGAGACCCTGAACCTTCACCAGTTTTCGGTGGTTTTGAAATGGATGGAAAAACAGCTTGTTTATCACACAAACACAAAAAACACCTTTGAGACAGAAAACATCAAACATGTCATTTTCAAGTCTCTGAATATCACAATAACGACAAATAATAATTATTTTTTTTAAATAAATACAGTTCAGACTTTAAATGATATGATTAGTTTGTATGTGAATATGTTGATCAGGCCCGAGGGTGATACAAAATAAAATGCATACAATTATTATTCAGACTCAGACTCAAATGTTCTCCTTTGCAAAAAGTACAAACTTCTTTCATGGTGATAATTAGATCATTATGTTTAATGCATTTCTGGATGTCTCTCTGGGATCTGGTAAGATTTAATTTCATCAGTATGAAAATTAGATTCAGTCATCGTCTATGTTAAAGCTGTTAATGAGATTCAATGCCATGCAGTGCCAATGTTTGACAATTCAAATATAATATTAAAAAATTATGAATATAATCTCTCTAATTCTACAACTTTAAATAGCAGCTTTGAGAAAAAAAGAAATAATAGCAAAGGAGTTTTTTGTTTTGTTTTCAGTTATAACATATATAAAACTCTCCTTTCAGAAAAATGACCAAGAGCAAGCATGAACTTAAAAAAAGTGTCTTGCATGTACAAATCTAAAGCAGGTCAAAGACAGTCATTTGAACGGCTTTAAGAGCTGCTATTAAAGAGTCTTTCTTAACTGTTAAAAGCTCCTGTGTGTCTATATGTGGAGTGGAAACTTTACAGTATCTTCTAGAAGTGTTACTCAGGGGTTTATTTCCTGTGTTCATCACACCCTCACATAAACTGACATGAGACTATTTTAAACATGCGAAAGAAGCAACATGAGCTGCAGCGGAAACTTTAAAGCAGGGGTGCCCAAACTCGGTCCTGGAGGGCCGGTGTCCTGCAGAGTTTAGCTCCAACCCCAATTAGACACACCTGAACCAGCGAATCAAGCTCTTACCAGGCATACTAGAACCTTCCCAGCAGGTGTGTTGAGACAAGTTGGAGCTAAACTCTGCAGGACACCAGCCCTCCAGGACCGAGTTTGGGCACCTTTGCTTTAAAGTGTCTCATGATTCACAAACTGAACTGAACGACTCTCATCAAACCAAACAACTGCTCAACACTAAAAAATTACTAATGTAAACAAATGTAATATATAGTAGTCAACATTTGAAGTGTATCAGAAAAGTTCATCAAAGTTGTCCTAAGACAAGAATGCATTTTGGTTTTAGGTTTTAGGACAACTTTGATTAAAGGTTTTGATCCACTTCAAATGTTGACTACTGTATATATATATATATATATCATAGTCTGTTTTTTATAAAATATTGGTGTAATGTGTGATGATCTGTTATAAGTGAGTTAGTTGAGTCTCATGTGGTGAATCTGATCGTGGTGTAATCAGAGTGAATCTCCTTCTTACTGAATCTGACCGTAGCGTCACTGAGAGACTCTTCATGCTTCTGGAAACTGACAGCAGCGTACAGGAGCTCATCAGAGGGGATTGTGGGTAATTCATCATGATTCTTCATTTGAGCTGATCCAGGATCTGAGAGAGAATCACGTCTGCTGTCTGCACATGATGACTGAATGCAGATAAAATAGACAGAAAATGTATTTTAAAATGAGAAAATATCTCATAAGCACAATATATATACAAACACACACACAAACTGTAACTCACTACTGTATTTTTCTTCCTCTTTCTCTTGTCTGATGTTGAGATTCTTCCTAATTACTCAAAACAAAATGAACTGATCAGTGAGAGAAAGACAAACTCAATCAACATTAAATGTCAGCAGCATCTGAGACAGAAACTCATTGAGTGATTGAGATTTACTGAAGCAGCTCAGAGACACTCAAACTATTTAATTAAACGATTCAAGAGATAAATATTGAAACCAAGTATCACCTCGTCTCTTGTCTCTTAATTTGTACACAGTCAGAGTGAATCCACCGATCAGCAGCAGAATCACACACACACTAATAATGAAGATCACGGAGAAATCTGAGAATAAAACACATACTGAGTGTTAATAAATCTTAATGCATTAGGAACACGTTTGATTGATCGAATTAAACTAAATTATATATTATAGGGGAAAAAAGCACATTTTAGTCTCTCTTGTGCAGACTTGCACACAGCTCTACTTCTTCTCTCTGTTGAGTCTCATGTGGGTTTCCTGAATAAAGACCGTTAGTTCTTCGCAACCAAATTAAACTGAGACTCTGAACCTCCAGCTCATCTCTGTGCTTTTGATGTGAAAGGAAAACTCCTTCTTCATCATGCAAAGCATAACTAGGGGAGTACCATCCTCAGGAAAGTTTGAGAGCAGCACATCTAATTCTTCCACGAAGTTACCTAGTGGTCCTGGGGGTCTATAAAATGGATTTTAAAAGGGTGGGTAATAGTGACTGAATGTGATTCAAATGAGCTGTTGATACTCAGAGATAGTAAAGGATTACATTTCCAATCATTAGAGATAAGCAGTACCTCCACCTCTTCCAGTCAGACGGGGGGAGTGGAAAAAGAGAAATTACTGGAGAGTGCTGCAGGTGTAGCATTGTCCTCTGGTTTGATCCACGTCTCTGTCAGGGCCATGAGGTCTTGAATGACTTGTAACAGAAGTAATCAAATCTGCTTTGTTTGCAGCAGACTGGCAATTCCAGAGACACATAGAAAAAGAAAGTAGTGTATTAGTAGACATAGGCAAAGTGCGCTGGTTGATAGGATTGCGCTGCCTACAGTGTGTGATGCATGGTTTGCGAGTGGTAGTGATAGTAGGGATCTGGAAACACATAGTAAGATTTGGTTATAAAAACTGAAAACAGAAGGGAAACAAGTAGTAGGAAAGAGAATGATTTAAAAGCGATACGTATGTCCCTTGCCGGTGTCCCTGCTTGGTGGAGTCGAACGATATCTTAGTCGATGGTCTTTACACCCCTCTGTCTTCACACGAGGAGGGCTTCACACATGGGCTGCCGCAACCGCTGACGCGGTATATTAAGCTTTTTGTATTCGTCTAACAAAACTCAAATTGAATTCAGCTGGACACATTTTCCTGTTTATCACAACAAATGGCCAAGCAAAAGCGCACGACACTGACACGGTACGCGATACAATACGTGACCAAATACGATTATTTTGTCCGGGCCATAAGAAGGCCACCAGTGCCATATCATTGCCTTAAGTGGCCCACATCCGCAAGCTATCTGGGATGCCACAAAATGAGATTCAAAGGTTTCTTAAGGAATAAATAAATTATATGGAAACTTTTATATGGCATTTTTAAGAATCACAAAAAAAAGGAAATGACAAGTTAGCATAAAATAACACGTTTGGAATAAAGCTCCAAAAAACTCAGAGACCCAGATGTGCAGTAGGTCAATCAATCCATCTAGTGAGTATAAATTACTATACTGATATTTAATTAGTTATGTGAGACAATAAAACACAAGTTTTAGTGCATTAAATTTAAGAGAAACAAAAACAATATATTAGACAATAATGACTTTAGAACGACCCTCTCAATGTCACACTTGAAGATCTGTAAGTGTTCATATTTGAAATCGCAAACAAAACAAAGTTATCTTACTTCTATCCTTATCCTTGCTGACATTTAAATGCACTTTAGTGATGATGTGAGCTCCACACCAGTATATCCCAGAATCCTCTTCTCTCAGATCAGTGATGTTCACAGTAAAGACTCCAGCAGATGCTTCATCACTGAAAGAGAATCGATCATCTCTGATCATCTCCAATGAAACTCCATCCTTCACACACATGGAGGCTTCATGTGCTTTGCAGAAGCTTTTCTGATCTTCATCATGATGTTTGCACTGGATTGACTCGTTGTCTCCTTCATACTTAGTCAAGTTCAGCTCTGGAAATGTTTACAGAGAAGATTGATTTAGAGAGAAATAAACTAGATTGAATACGAGGGCTGCGTGATTAATTTAAATACAAAGGAAATTGTAATATGGCTTAGTGAGACTACGAAATCGCAAAGGCTGTGGTTTAATCAAATAGATATATGCTGCATGTAATATGTATATGTGTATTTAATAAAAGTAATAATATCATCATATCAATATTATTATATAGTTATATTGATAATCACAAAGATTTGACCAAATTGTGCAGCCCTACAAACAAGCATGGCAAGCATTGCCCCCCCCCCAAGTACTCAGGAGGTGAAGTATTAAGTTTTTGCTTTGCATTGCAAATTATCACACTTTTACTAGTGAGTATTTTTTGTCACTTTTGGTCAGTCACATGAAAACAAGTCATATGTTGTGTAATCCATTAAATTGGTTCTAGTTCTGCTTCATGTGCAAATGACAGTCAACAAAATGTCCAATAAACAAGAAACTAAACACCCCTCACCTCTCCATCGCTCATCTCCGTCCTGCCTGGGGAAGCGTGCTGATCTGTGAATTATAACCAGAGTACAAACGCTCACAACAAAACTTGCTTGATAGTTTTAATTTGCAACAATACACTAAAGCTGCCTTAAGAAAACATAATATGATCTGTTTAGTCAATCTGGGCCTGAGTGTGCAGTGTTAGAGTGTCTTTAGGAATAAGGTTGGAAAAAAGTCAAATGATTAGTTACAGATAAAACTACAGGCCCACTTTCCAAGAAATCAAATGAGAACTGGCTAAACTGCTCATGTTATTTGAATTCAAAATGACAGAGAGAAAGTAAAACAGTAGCAGGTCACACAAGGCCAGTAGACCGTTAAATCATGAGTGTGTTTGCGATCATCACCTCGTGTCTTGATGTATCCTAATTTGTATAATAACAGGACAGACGCTCCCATCAGCAGCAGAGTCACACAAATGCAAGAGATCGTGATTCTTCCAGAAACACCTGGAGAACAGGTGCCAGTAATACCAGTAAAGTTAAAAAACCACAGTATGTGCAATAAACCACATTTTACATAAAACATACAGCAGCCATATCTTAGCATTTAGTGCAGTTTTAGTTTTGATATAATGTAATATAATTTGCATCTGCAAATTTTCTAAAATCTATTTGTGGCTGCTCAATTCTTTCACTTCTGCTTTCATAACCTGAGGAAATCACAAATTACTTGGCTTCTCTCTCAGCTACTTAATCTCTAAATCTACCACTATCTGTGAGGTCAAGATGATTACTGATGCTAATCACCTTTAAATAGAAACAATGTAGGTCAGGTTAAGGTAAAACTTACTTTTGTTGACTTCTAGAATGACTTTAGTGATGACGTGAGCTCCACACCAGTATATCCCAGAATCCTCTTCTCTCAGATCAGTGATGTTCACAGTAAAGACTCCAGAAGATGCTTCATCACTGAAAGAGAATCGATCATCTCTGATCGTCTCCAATGAAACTCCATCCTTCACACACATGGAGGCTTCATGTGCTTTGCAGAAGCTCTTCTGATCTTCATCATGATGTTTGCACTGGATTGACACGTTGTCTCCTTCATACTTAGTCAAGTTCAGCTCTGGAAATGTTTACAGACACAAGAACATCAATTCACATCCGTAGTTTCACATATTCAGATGCAGAAACCTTCCTCACCCTCGTTCATGATGACGATCAGATGAGTGTAAAGATAATTGAGGTCTGTTTCTAATGTCACTGCACACCAGTATTTCCCAGCATCCTCTGCTGTCAGTCCAGTGATGGTCCCAGTGAAGACACGTGCAGTGACGTTATCATTCAGAGTCAATCTGCCAGTCTTGCTCTCTTTCTCTTCTCTCACAGTCTCACTGAGAGTATTTCTGTCTCTAGTGGAGCACTTCCCCTTACAGAGAGACTTTGGCTTTGATTTATAGATTGAATCATAAGGGCAGATTATCTCAGCAGATTCTCCTTCATGTCTCACTACTGGAGGCACTAAAAACAAACAAACATGGACATTTAACACAAATGATTCTGAATATACTGTGTTTACTACAGTGAAATCATCTGAATGGACTCACTGATGATGTTGAGCTGAATTTTAGTGTTCAGGGAGATGAAAGTCAGATATGTGTCTCTGGTTTCTGCTCCACACCAGTAAACTCCAGCATCTCTCACACTCACATTACTGATGCTCACTCTAACAACTCTCTCTTCATTTCTCTCAGATGAAGGATTCATTTCTGTCACTTCAGATGAGCTGATGGTTTGGCAGATGTGATTAACATCCTCTTTACAGAAATGAACTTCTTGTTGCTCTGGGATCTGACAGGTGATGTTGACTTCTCCACCAGGATGAGCAAATTCAGACACACTCTGTAGATATTTTGCATCTGCATCTATAAATGACATTTTTTTTAATTAAAATTTAAAATTACATAAAAATCAGAACAAATAATTTATATACAAGATAACGTACTTGAGTTTGCTCACCGTGTCTGAGGTGCAGCTGAAGTTCAGTGAAGCTCTCAGTATAGTCAGATACTTTCACTCCACACCTGTATGTTCCTGCATCTGCAGCTTTCAGCTCTCTAAAAAACACCATCAAGACTCCTGCGCTGGTGTCGTCATATAAAGAAACATCTCCATTCTCCATCCATTCATCCTGAACTCCTGGATTCTTCCTCTCTGAACATCCGTCTGATTCTTTACAGATGTATTTTGGGTTGGTTTTGTATTGAGGATGTTCACACTTGATCATCAAACCACCTCCTGTGGAGCCGCTCACTCTAGACACGCCCACTTTAGCTGTCAATCACGAATATTACTTCTAATCAATTTAGCAGGAAACACAGAATGTAGACACTTTTATACTGGGTTTGAGTTTGTTCTACTTTACACTGACATTTAATCATTTAGCAGATGTTTTTATTCAACAGTTCTCTGATGTAGATCATGAGCTTTCCATGATTATTGGAAAATAAAGTGAATCTTCCTTCATTAATCCACTGATCGTGTTTCCTATTAATTAGTATTTTTGTATTCTGTAGCTTTCTCATGTATTTAGCATTGTCTTTGTGCCAAGGCTTCCATGATCTAACAAGAACGCTTCCTCCAGAATATCCCGTGACGCTAAAGCATCTCACTGCAGATGTCAATCAGATTGATACTGTGATCAGAAAGCTGATGAACAGAAAACAGCATCATTACTGCAGTGATGAAAGAGAAAAGCTCTCACCTGAGATCAGGTAGAAAGTGAGGAAGATGAGGAGGATCTTCATTGTGAGTTGAGTTCAGTCTTCTTTATGCTGAATGATCTTTGTGTGAATCTCTCGGTCTCTACATCTGTCTGCTTTAGTTACTTCCTCTTTATTCAGCTCTTTATCAGTAATGAGCAGCTTTACTGGCTCCTCCCACCAACACCACTGACTGAACATCACATTAATCACACTGAAAGAGCACCACCTAGTGTGTAGAACATTGATTAAATGTTCTTGGTTATATGTCGGTCGCATTTGTACATGGCTTCCATCTATAGTCAAGAGGTCAGTATAAGCCCTGGATGTTTATGGAAGTAGGTCGTCTGCAATTACATGTGATAACTATAAAGTTCTCCAGGAAAGAGTAATTCAAAACCCTGTTGTGTGCCTATCATTCATCAGTATATCATTAAACAGGATATCTATTCCTTGAATCATAAAAAAACAGGGGAAAACAAATCATTTTTTAAAGTAAATATGTTAATTTATTAAAACAATATAATATAAACAGATTGCACCGTGTTCCCTTATAATTATCAAATTGACCCTTGTACACTGTTGACCCCTTAACCAACCCTTAAACCTACCCATACCACCAAACCTGTCCCTAACCTTACCCGTATCACACCTCAACAGCAGGAAAAGTGTTGTGCATTAACACAAGCTTTTAATCATTTTATAACATCTGTTAAAATCATTTGCAGATTTTCAATAAGTGCTTGGTCAAATGTAATTGAAAGTTTAATGACATTTGAAAGCATTTCAACTTACATGAAATTATTTGTTTGAACATTATCTAATGTTTATTAAGTTTATTAGCAAACTTTAACAAGCACATTCTCACGTTTGTAACTCTTTGAATATTTATTTAATAATGATCCATTAAGCATTATATAATGTTTGTAAATTATTTATTAATAAAAGTTATTATAAAGTGTTACCACCTTATTTATTACATTAATCACACTGAAAGATCACAATCTAGTGGAGGTTACATTGTCTGATACTGAGAGCTCATACAGGTTTTCATGTTCTCTATATCCACCTTGTTCCCTTTCATGGGAACTTCGAACTGCGTCCTCTAGGGGTCGCTATGGGGAATGCCTCGTCGTGACCCGTGTCTGAAGCATACATTGAAAAAACACCGACAACACTTTGGCCGGCGACAGTCATGACGTCACTACCGGTGCGATTATAGTATAAATAGGCACCGGGAGAACACATCATCCTCTTCTTCGTCTTCACTGACTGTTTTGTTTGAAGCGTGCGTTTCTGTGGTAAGAGCGATGACACACACGATCTATGCGTTACTTGTTTGGGCGAAGAGCATGCACGCGATGTCTCCGAGGGTGCAATCGGCGCGCACTGCAAGCTTTTTCCAGTGAAAAAAGCTCTGCTCTCATTTGTCTCTCTTTTTGAGGAAAGACGGGCAGCCATCTGCTTCCCGCGATTCAGGTCCCGCCGCTGCTGAGACACGGAGGAGAATGAGCTCGTTGGGATCGCAGGTGGATCTGGCCGATGAGTTTGAAGAGGGGTTTTCCCTCTCGCGATAGTCGGCTGTGGACGAGAGTGAGCCGCTGCAGGATGATGTTATTTCATTAACATTGTCTGATCCAGGGGCTAGTGCTCTGCTGGGTTCGGCCCAGGAAGAGCAGGAAATGTCTGAGGAGGGCAAAGAAGCTGAGGCTGAGCCTTCCCAATCCTCCTGCCCTGCGTATGATGAGCTTTTGAAAGTTATGGATCGTGCCACGGCGAGGTTTTACTTGCCATGAAGCGGGCGAAGAAAGTGACACTGCGAGGTCATCTCGATGATTTTTTCTGGCCATAACCCTCCATCTCAGGGGAGCCATCTTTCTTCCTGTTTTCCATACAGCGATTGAGAAGGAATGGAAGAGGCCGTTTTTTTCCTAATGCATCCATCGATTCCTGCAAAGGAGTTATGCCAACATCGAGACGATGCGCGAAAGCAGTTATGAGAAGATGCCCCTATAGAGAGAGACGCTGGCCAGCTATCTCTCTATGGGTGAGACGTCCTCTTTTAAGACTCCCTCCTTGACATCTCGCTCGAATGCCAGGGCATACGCAGCAGCAGCAGGTCAGGCTGTCGCTTCATTGCACACGATGGTGATGCTCCAAGCATATCAGGCTGACCTGCTGAAAAACCTGGATAAAGGAGGTCCAGGTCTAAGCCCGAACAACCCAGGGGTCCCTAACAACACAGAAGGCTAGTGTTGCGACTCGTGCTCCTCCCCCGCCCGCCGGTAGGGGTAGGAAGAATCGCGGGTTAAAGGAAGGTAGGTAAAAGACCTAAGGGATGTGATCCAGACAGGGCGTCAGCGCTTTTGACCGGATCAGAGTGATACCTCAGTATCCACTCATTTCCTTCGGGGGTCTTACATCTGCCCTTATCTTCCCCTTCCTAA